TGGAATAAATGCAAATACTTGCACTTCTAATTCAGAGGCAAATATAAAAATACTAACCCTAAATGTAGCACTCCCCACACATGCTCGATATTTCACCAAGTATTATCTCATAGAACTAAATGCTTGGGTTTTACATTTGTTTTATTTTCTAAGTGCACATTTTTATGCTTTTATTTCTATTTACTTACACAAATATCACTTTCACTTTAAAATGCATATTCAATAATGCATGTGATTTAAATGGATGCATTCAGAATATCTCTCTATAACCTCCTACCATCTGCCTGCATTAAAACTCAAATATACTAACATCACAGATTATATAGTCAAAGAGCCAAACATGTGGAATATACTAGATCTGGGGAAAGCTGGCCTGGATACTTGACATTAATTGGTTTGTAAGGAAGTAAGAGTTAGGAATGGGAAGACTGCCATTTTATATGCTATAGGCTCCTTAACAGTTGAATAGCGGTATCTAACTCTGATGGTATTATTTTTGAACTGATATAGAGTATAGATAAAAAATTGTGTTGTGACTTGCTAGGATGTCATCTGTCAGCTTTTCTTCTTCCCTGGTTCTATCTAGCCTGTTCCATACTGCAATTGAAAATGTCTATAGTTCTATTTCTAAGAAATAGAACTAATAATGTTGACTGGGTAAGTATATAAATTGATCAATAAATACATAAATAACTAAAGGGTTCAATAACAAAGGATTGAGTAATTCACATAGAAATCCTCACTTTGGAAATGGAGGTGTTATAATTATACAAGCGTGTTCCTGTTTTGATCTGAGAATTATGGCAGGATGTGATGAGCTGTGTTTTCTTTTCCTCTTACGATCTCTATTGTCTTGCTGCCAACTAACAGGTCTGAGAACGTGGCATGAAAAGCAGAATGAAAAGCTTATGAGAGAATTATTATTATAGCCCTGGAATGATGCAGGTAGTGGATATGTTTTGTTGGGAACATAGATGCAAAGATAGATACTTACCTTCCTTACTTGTTCAGAAGTGCGTGTGTACGTGTGTCACATGTGCGTGCAGACCTTCTGCGCATGCACAAAACTTCTGTGCATGCGCAGAAGGTAAAAAACATATTATTTCCTGATTAAAACCAGGAAGTAATGACACCTGGGCGGGTGGGCGGAGCTTTGCTCCGCCATTGCTACTGGATCGCCGAACGACTGGCCAAGATCGCTACCGGACTAGGCGATCCGGTAGCATTTCACCCCTGGATAGATGTAATGGTCAAAAGCAAGCAACTTTTGCATAAGAACCATAAACTGCGTTATAGCCATGAGAGCCTCTGCAGATCCCAAAGTCCAAATTCAAATGATACTGCAAATGAAAGCAGTTTGTTTCTCTCTTTCTCTGAGCTGACCTCTCTCAAATCCCAACCCAATTCCTTTGTGTAATTAAACACACCAGCCTCCCTCCTCCCTTCCTTGCAGATATTTTTAAATGTCTATCCTAGAAAAGCTGTGCCAGCATCAAATTGTATCTTTGCGCTTTGACTAAATCTGAATATGATACGACTTTGGCTCTTTAACATGGACAAATCTCTCTCAATGCCTCTTTACCTGATGGATAGTTTTCAACACTGCCAGGTGTTTTGCTAGTCTCAGCGCCCCCTTTCCCACAGTGCCTCTCCAGCAATGGCTGTGCCTTCTGTTTTGGTCCAGCAGCTTCCTGGCTAGGAGAAATGGTGGTGGGCTGCCAAGAGCATATGTGCTAGTATTGCCACTTATACGTTAATTACACTTCTGATGGGATGCCAAGGATAGCTGGATAAGCTGAGTCTGGCACTTGTTTACAGATGACACTGAATTTGGATCAGCAAACTATACTTCTCCTGCTGCACAGCACAACGAGGTGCACATTCTAGATTTAGGTAAATCTAGGTAAAGCTGTAATCCTGTCTAGATGTATAATATCTGTTGTACATTGAAAAAGTACACTGAAAAAAGAAAGATAGCAGGGGATATACTTTGAGAGAAGTTGAACTGGAAAAAAAGAACACACCACATCAATTATCCATTGATGTGGTGTGTTCTTTTTTCATATCCATTGAAGACTGTACACTAGAAATACACTCAGAGGATAGTCCTGTAAACTAAGAGTAAGAATCTTAGCAGGACCCAAAGGGAAACAACCTGTGTGATATCAATACTAACATAATCTTGCATCTTTTGAACAACACCTTTTAAAAACCTGACACGATCATGTTCCACTTCCTAATCCTCATATAAATAAAACTGGTCAGAACAAGGCTCTGCATGCATATTTATCCATAGTTACATAAGGACTGTCCTTGGCAGTAAATTCAGGCTATGATTTTTATTGTGCCCTTATGAGACTGCTAAAATGAACATATGGGTAAAGTTAAGCTCATGCCAAAGGTTTTATTTCAGCATCAGCATCATTCTTTTTTGAACTGAGTCAGCTTTTGGAATTACATTGTTGGGTGGGAGGTGAGGTGGTGTTAATACTTAACACTTTCCCTGTTAATATTCCTTGAAAAATATGGCCCTAAACCTGCCTTTGATTGCTTGAATCTTTCTTGTATATTTACTTTTGCTTTCACTGTTACTGATTTGATAAAATAAACTGGAATAATTGTGTGCCAACAAGTCATTTTTGATTCCTAGTGACCATTTAGATCAGGGGTGGGTTCTACTTACTTTTACTACCGGTTTGCAATGGGGCCATGCACGTGCACTCTTCTGTGCATCCACAGAAGCATTTTGATGATGTCGGGGTCAGTGGGTGGAGCCTCCCGCCAGTTTTACTACCAGTTCTATAGAACCAGTGCAAACCGGGGGCAATCCACACTGATTTAGATAGATTATAATGAACTGTCCCTAACCAGTTTTTCAGTTCTTCCAACCCTGCAAACTTGCTGTTGGTTATCTTCTTCTGTTTTGTTCTGCCTCTCAGCATTAGAGCCCTTTCCAGAAAGCTGGCTCTGAACATAATGTGCCTGAAGTAGGATAATTTGAACCTAAATATTTGTACTTTGAGTGAGAACTCTGGTTTGATTTGTCTGATTATCTATGTTTTCTTGGATGTCCACAGTATTTTGATAGTCTTCTCCAACACATAACTTCAAGAATGCTCTTAAAAGAGTTTTGTTAATATTTTGTTAGCAAGCTCATTTATTGTTTAATGTGGAATATTTCTTTTTTACACTCATATACAGGTACTCCTCGACTTACAATAGTTCATTTAGTGATTGTTCAAAGTTACAATGGTGCTGAAAAAAGTAACTTATGACCTTTTTTCACACTTATCCCCATGGTCGTAAGATCAAAATTCAGACCCTTGGCAAATGACTCATATTTATGACTGTCACAGTGTCCTGGGACACTCAGCAAACCTTTTCTTCTTGATCTGATCAGATAAATCCAATGCAGAGCAGATGATCTTGGAGATGTCAAACCTGGGTCCTCTAGGATTGAAAGGTGACAACTTGGAGCTTGAATTGTACCCAGAAGCTAACTGACACAATTCCACTCTGATAATGGTTGCATTATATGAGCAAACCTACAGTAGATATGCCCATAACTAACAAAACCACTACATGCTGAACCAGCTGAAAGTTTCAAAACAAATATCCTATCTATTTTCTTAGGCTTCACAAACTCAAATAAATTTTAGCTGTCATCTTAGCCAAAGGCATCCTACTCCAAATTCAAATAAGCTTTTTTTTATTCTTCTTCTTCTAGGGACTGGGCAAATTCAGTGCAATAGTTATGCAGTTGATTTTCCAGTCCAACTTCCCTTAGCAGAGCTAGGTTACTTTAAACAGTGCTTAGGCTGCTATCTACAGACCTGTAAGAGCAGAGCAGTCGCTCTTACTGCCACAATGTAGGCTTGGATTTGAATTTGAATATATTTGTCTCATTTTTTGCTCAGACATCCTTCTTTGCCTGTCACCATTCTGGTGTTTCCTTTCTATCCCTTCTATATTCCTCATCTTTTGCCCCAAAAGGCAACTCATGGGGACAATTCACTCTGCCTCTCCCACCAGCAGCCTTTCCAACCACAAATACCTCTTTCGCTATTGTCATTCCTAATAAGATCACTCTCCAACCACAATTATAACCATACACACATCCCTTCATCAACTAACAATTCTTTCCATTTCCTCTCAGCATCATAGAAATTGTCCTCACCAAAATCTGATAAGTGGCTGTCACACCTGACATCTCACTCCTCCAGAAAATTCAATCCATTATTATCCTCTTCTGACCTGGCAAGTTGTTCATAACATGAGCTCCTTCACTAATTCCACCAATCTGGTCCATCACACTATATTTTAAAGGCCAGACCAATTCATGCCATCCATCTCTTCTCTTCCATTACCAATTCCATTTCTCCACATCTCTGCTTTGGAAACAAAGTTCTCGTTATTCTTCAATGTCTTGTTTCCAGTCTGCAGTTGCTGGCCCATAACCTGTTTTTCTAGTGAGTTTCCTACAAATTACTGCCCTTCTAACAATTGCCAATTCTAATACAACTGGCTCAGTGGTGGATTTCAATTTTTTTTACTACTGTTCTGTGGGTGTGGCTTGATGGGCATAGAATGATTTGGTGGGCGTGGCTTGGTGGGCATGGCTTGGTTGGGCATGGCAGGGGAAGGATACTGTAAAATTTTAATTCCCTCCCCAATCCAGGGGAAAGTTACTGAAAAATCCCCATTTCCTCCTCCCAAGTTGGGACTTGGGAGGCAGAGAATAGATGGGGGTGGGGCCAGTCAGAATTTTTACTACTGGTTCTCCAAACTACTCAAAATTTCCACTACCGGTTCTACAGAACTGGTCAGAACCTGCTGAAACCCACGTCTGACCTGGCTAATGCAGCCACAACTACCAGAAGGCTTTCTCTTGAGTACTGGCATAGCTTCATGATATTCTTCTATGGCACAACATGGTAAGTCTCAGATCTGGCTAATTTCATTCCTTTTCTGACACCACTAAACTGCGGCCACCAGTCACTTTTGAGTGTTACAATCTGAGCCTGCTTTTCCCAGCTGAAAATCATCAAGGTAATCTTTACTTTCTTCAAACTCTTTCCTCAGCCTTGTTTTTCTACTTCTATGCTTACTTCCTCTTTTCCTCCACTCTGTTCTTTTGACCTTTACTTCCTTCCATAAAGATATTCCTAACTCTAATTTCAAGAATACTTACAAAAGTACTTTTCCCATCATTTATTTTCATCCAAAATTATTTTCTCTACCAAGTTCCCTCTCTTCCCCATGTCCTGCTAAGTTGTCTCATACTGATGAGGGATGAGCACAAAAAAAGGTGTCAGGCGTGTACAAGAGTATGGAACTCTAGTCGAGTCACCCAAGGCGAGAAGTTCATCTCAGCTGCCCAGTAAAAGCAAGTAGGAACCTGTATCAGGAAGTTGTAACACAGAAAAAAGCTAATGACTGCTTTAGCAACAACAGCAAAGGCATTATTCATGCTGCACTTGTGAGAAAGCAGTGGTAAACCACTGCTATATATTATTAAGAAAACCACATGGATAGATAAGATAAAGTGATTGACAATATAATGTCAGATGATAGTCCCGTCAGGTCAGATGGCACTCAACATACTACTCGTAAAATGCTGAGCATCTTTTGGAGTTCTTATAGTGTTTATGTTGCAGCTAGATTAAAGCCTTTGGGAAAGCTGATGTTACCATGGAGGGAAGAAATCCAAAACTGTAGATAGAATTATGTCCAGACTCATTTAGAACTGGGTGACCTACACATTTGAAAAATTAAATTAAATTAGGGAGGAGAACATAAAGAGAATGAATATGGAAAATTTCATCTACAGTGAAAAATGAAATAAACTGACCATGCACTGACATTTTAGGCATCTGCAAATTGAAACAGACTGGAATTCAACATTGTCAGTCAGAATGTTCTATATTTAGAACACAATAAAAACAAAGAAGGAATAGAGTTGCTTTCATAATCAGAAAGAATGATGTGACAGCCTATTTTACCTATTCCAATTCATATTTTTATTCACATATTAATAAATCACTTAATTCATGTATTACTTATTATTTAGTATATAGAAATGTCTATGACGTCTTCTATCTATTGGATGTGCCTTGACTGTTAGTTAGCCTTACTTGTTAGGCATAGATGATAGCACTAGATAAAACCAAACCATCTGCCTTCTTACTTATGAATGCCTGCTTATTAAGTTAATTGATAAGACTCTGGTCCTGAGTTACTAAGGAATGGTCAGTGCGGGATTGCTGTTGAGAAGGTAAGCGTGTTAGTGTACCTTCTAACCTCTACTTCAACTATGTTATTGTGACTATTGAGAATGTAACATGCTTTTTCATGATTGGTTAATTATAGTGATGTACATCATTCAAAATTGAATATAATGAGGTCCATTCCAAGCAGGAGTGTACTCACTTTGGAACTTACTTCTAGGCAGCCTTTCAATTTGCAAATCAAATTCTTAATCCTTTCCACCTATCTGGTCTGGTTATTAGGCCTGCACACTGGACCAAATATTTCTGGAAGAACAAGAATGAATATAGTGATGATACATGTAATGTAATCAATGGCCAAATAACTTAAATTAACTGTCAAGTCTTAAATATGATAAGTTATTCTAGTGTATGCTCTAAACACTGTTGCAGAAAAAGAGGAGGTCAATGAATCCTGTGGCCAAATTCAGTCTGATAGTCAGGGTATGCAAAATACTGCCTGTCGATGGAATGGCTCTGAAATTCCAAAGCTGAAAATAGTTAAGGAAAATAGAATTGGATAGTATGATCTAGGAAATAAAAATAAACAGATTTTTTCATAGCTAATATGGTCATCAAACAACCAAAATGGTATCTGTATACATGGGCCTCAACATATGAACTATATAGAATTCAAATTGACTATTGCTAAAAGGAGGAGCAAAACTGTAGCATCAAAGATATGGCCAAGTGCTGATTGTGGAACAACTAATGAACTATTCATATGCAACTTGCAAATTAAGGTAAAATGGAAGAACAAAGCTAATCAGTTCCCACAGTATGATCTTGAACATACAGCCATCTTTGTGAAGGAAAACATCAGGAATCACTCTGAAGTCCCGAATCTCATTTATAAGGAATCAGAGAAACTATGAAATGAAATCAAAGAAATTGTTAAAGATCAGTGTGAAAAAAAGCTTGCCAACGATCAAGAAATAGAAGAAACAAAAGATGTCACAGCAGAAGATAAAAATTGTCACAAACAAAAGCCAAAGTCAAAGATGTAAAGCAAGAACTTAACAGAGAATTTCAGAGAGCTGATAGAAGAGACAAGAAACAATATTATACAACAATTGTAAAGATCTGACAATGGAAACAGAGATAGAAAAATAAGGAAAGCCTTTCAAAAGATTTATGAACTCAAAAGGAAGGTCCAACCTTGAAATAGTACACTAAAGGACACTGATAAACAGATATTAACAGATTCAAGAAAGATCAAACAAGATGGAAGGAGGATACTGAAATTCTGAATAGTAGAGATGTCAACATTCAAGGTATCTTAAAAGAGATTTCTTAGGAATCTCTAGTAGTAGATATTGAAGTCCTATCAGCATTCTGGGCATTAGCAAGTTTGATAGCTACAGGAAATGATAGAATATCTATAGAAATATGGCAGGTAACAGAAGAGGAAGCAGTAAAGTTTCTAATCAAACTATTCCAGCAAACCAAGAATGACACAGTAATCAACAGACTGGAAATGGATCAGTCTATATATAAACATCAAGGAAAGACTTAAAGTATAATATGCAAACTACCGTATCCTATTCTTAATTTCACAATCTAGCAAAATAATGCTGAGGATCATTCAATGGAGATTAGAGCACTACATGGAAAGGGAGAGGCCAGATGCTCTAGCTGATTTTAGAAAACACCAAGGAGCAAAAGACATTATTGATGATGCATGGTGAATAATTAAGAAAGGAAAAGAATACCCAAAACAAGTCGATATGTGCTTCATTGGCTGCAGAAAGGCCTTAATGATTTTACCCATGTCAATAGAAAGCAGGAATCCCAGAAATTCTCAGTATCATCATATTAAATGTATGCAAAGTTTATTCTGTAGGAAGCTACAGAATAAACAGAACCTAGCGAAATAGACTGGTTGCAAGTTTGCAAATGACTGAGACAAGGTTAAATACTTTCTCCTTGTTTATTTGACCTATATGCTGAATATATATTGAGGGATGCTAGATTAGAAGATGAGTGTCATTTAAAATTGGAGTAAGAAACGTTTATTTATTAAATCTGTATACCCCGACTCCTAGTGACATCAATACTTTGCACTATACTGATGATACTACTCCAATAGCTGAAAATACAAGCAATCTGCAAAATCTAGTAATGAAATCAAGGAACGCAATATAAAAATTCAATCTAAAGATTAAATAAATAAGATTAAATATAAAGAAGACCAAACTCATGACAGCAAGCACAGCAGCCAGCCTTAGAATTGACAGTAAAGTTCCTGAAGTGGTAGATAGCTTTGGCCATTTATAGAATCAACTGTCAATAGTAAAGGAAACAGCAATCAAAAAATATGGCATACATTAGCACTTTGTGAAGTAGCAATCAAGGGCTTGTAAAAGATATTCAAATGCCATAATATATGTATACTTTCAAAGATCAAAACCGAGTAGGTATTAGTTTTCCCTATGAGGCTGTAGAAGGAAAAATAAAGTTTATACTTTAGTTTGTATTAGTTCTTACAATTGTTCTTTAAAATCTATCTATCTGTCTATCTATCTATCTATCTATCTATCTATCTATCTACCCACCCTCCATCCATCCATCCATCCATCCACCACCCACCCACCCAACCACCCACCCACCCACCCACCCCATCCATCCATCCATCCATCATCCATCCATCCATCCATCCATCCATCTATCTATCTATCTATCTATCTATCTATCTATCTATCTATCTATCTATAAATGTAAAAGAAAAGTTAAACAATGACACTTTTGAACTTTAGTGTTGGAGAACCCCACGAACAGCTAAAAAATAAACAAACGGAACATATAGAATAAATCCATCCACAGGTCTCACCTAAGGCACAGATGAATTGTGTCTTTTGGACACAGGTGATGACCCAATCCCCTTAAGAAGTCCATAATGCTGAGAAAGATAGAAGGAAAGAAAATGATTAACAGCAAACTGGATCCACTCAGTTATAGCACAATGGATGCTTTCCACATAAAAAGAACACATATGCAAATACTTCAGTTATAGGTAGGTTGTGAGGTATTAAAAGGATGCATTGCAAACAGGGTAAACTACAAATTAAGGATAGGTAACTGTTTTGTAGTCAAGCCAGTGATGTATGGTAATGGTATCATAAGGTATTTTTTTGGCAGTTCCCCTCCATTCGGAAAGCCTAACTTTTTAAAAAGTGTGTAGGCAAAAGCATTAAGGCCTGAAACTCACATGAATAATGTGCTATCCAAAATTGAATACATATACTCAGCCTTTGCTCAGCAGATGTTTTACCAGAACATAAAATGCTCTTAAGGGAAACAGATCTGGACCAGCAATAGCTACATATTTCACTAGTTCTTATAAATGAGATTCGGGACTTCAGAGTGATTCCTGATGTTTTCCTTCACAAAGATGGCTGTATGTTCAAGATCATACTGTGGGAACTGATTAGCTTTGTTCTTCCATTTTACCTTAATTTGCAAGTTGCATATGAATAGTTCATTAGTTGTTCCACAATCAGCACTTGGCCATATCTTTGATGCTACAGTTTTGCTCCTCCTTTTAGCAATAGTCAATTTGAATTCTATATAGTTCATATGTTGAGGCCCATGTATACAGATACCATTTTGGTTGTTTGATGACCATATTAGCTATGAAAAAATCTGTTTATTTTTATTTCTAGATCATACTATCCAATTCTATTTTCCTTAACTATTTTCAGCTTTGGAATTTCAGAGCCATTCCATCGACAGGCAGTATTTTGCATACCCTGACTATCAGACTGAATTTGGCCACAGGATTCATTGACCTCCTCTTTTTCTGCAACAGTGTTTAGAGCATACACTAGAATAACTTATCATATTTAAGACTTGACAGTTAATTTAAGTTATTTGGCCATTGATTACATTACATGTATCATCACTATATTCATTCTTGTTCTTCCAGAAATATTTGGTCCAGTGTGCAGGCCTAATAACCAGACCAGATAGGTGGAAAGGATTAAGAATTTGATTTGCAAATTGAAAGGCTGCCTAGAAGTAAGTTCCAAAGTGAGTACACTCCTGCTTGGAATGGACCTCATTATATTCAATTTTGAATGATGTACATCACTATAATTAACCAATCATGAAAAAGCATGTTACATTCTCAATAGTCACAATAACATAGTTGAAGTAGAGGTTAGAAGGTACACTAACACGCTTACCTTCTCAACAGCAATCCCGCACTGACCATTCCTTAGTAACTCAGGACCAGAGTCTTATCAATTAACTTAATAAGCAGGCATTCATAAGTAAGAAGGCAGATGGTTTGGTTTTATCTAGTGCTATCATCTATGCCTAACAAGCAAGGCTAACTAACAGTCAAGGCACATCCAATAGATAGAAGACGTCATAGACATTTCTATATACTAAATAATAAGTAATACATGAATTAAGTGATTTATTAATATGTGAATAAAAATATGAATTGGAATAGGTAAAATAGGCTGTCACATCATTTTATAGGTAGGTTGTGAGGTATTAAAAGGATGCATTGCAAACAGGGTAAACTACAAATTAAGGATAGGTAACTGTTTTGTAGTCAAGCCAGTGATGTATGGTAATGGTATCATAAGGTATTTTTTTGGCAGTTCCCCTCCATTTGGAAAGCCTAACTTTTTAAAAAGTGTGTAGGCAAAAGTATTAAGGCCTGAAACTCACATGAATAATGTGCTATCCAAAATTGAATACATATACTCAGCCTTTGCTCAGCAGATGTTTTACCAGAACATAAAATGCTCTTAAGGGAAACAGATCTGGACCAGCAATAGCTACATATTTCACTAGTTCTTAATACATGGCTAATGAACCAGTTCCAAATATCAGTGAAAGTGCTGCTGCTTATTTATGTTTTAAAAACCTAAATTGGTTTCTCTATCTCTCCTCTCCCCCCCTCCCCCCATACATGGAAATGATACAGTTAAAACCTAACCAGTTGGTTCCTTTAAATACAGAGAGATGACAGGAAGAAAAAAAAAAATCTTGCATGAACCTGCCCAAAGAATGAAAAAAATCCTGAACAATTTCCTACCTTCTCACCCTGCAAATCAATGGAAGAGACATCAAATTTGGGGTCAAATTTGAAAGGTTGAACTCAGATATGAGTCTAGGACTACTACACCCATATTTTGACCAAGTCATCTCTTGACTAGATTACTGTAGTGCACTCTGTGTGGGGCTATTCCTGAAAACTCAAGAGCCTTGGTGGCGCAGCAGACTAAAGTGCAGTTAAGTGGCACCAGCTGCCTGCAATTACTGCAAGTTCAAATCTCACCAGGCTCAAGGTCGACTCAGCCTTCCATCCTTTCGAGGTAGGTAAAATGAGGACCCGGATTGTGGGGGTAATAAGCTGACTTTGTATATAAAAAAAGAACACCGCTTAGGGGGCGGTGTATATACTAAGCAGGTATATACAAAAGTATGAAGGCTATTGCTTAACGCATTGTAAGCCACCCTGAGTCTCCAGAGAAGGGTGGCATATAAATCAAACCAATAAATAAATAAAACTGTCCATAAATTGCAACTGGTTTAGAATGTCGGAGGTTGATTAGTGAGTGGAACAGCTACACATGATCTCATAACAACAATCATGAAAAAGTTTCCTGAGAGCTACTGTGCCCAATTTAAGGCAATAACAATGGTCTATAAAGCCCTACATGTATTTAAAAGACTGTCTTTCCAATACTATTAATTCATACATTAAAATCAGCTGGAGGGGTGGGCTGCATATGCTTTCAGTTTTTAGTGTGGTGACCAGGTAGGTCCTTCTGATTGACAGCATTCTAATTATGGTACTTTTTCCGCATTAAAGACATGTCTACTTACCTTGGACCACTCTAACTTTTATTTTTTTGCTCTTTTATTTTTTTTTAAACTGAGATGTTGGTTTGTTTGGGGCATTTATTGTTTATAAGCATTACAATTTTACTGTTTTTAAATGTTTTAAATACTCTTTAAAAAAAAAGTCCTCTTGTAAACACTTCTTCCCAGAGAAAAATAAATACACAAATAACAATTACATATAAATCAAGGATGGGCATTTTCTGCTGGTTGATACATTGTCATGATTGTACTTGGAAAACGGTTCTGCAAAAGAAAATGGCTGAGAATGATGTTGTTCCAGTCCTCCTGCCAGATAGACCCAATTATGGGCATTTTTCCCTGTTTTGTCCTTCTAGCGAAAAAACTGCAATGTCTCCTACAAATGCAGCAACTCTAAAGAAAGAGGGTATAGTTTTGGATTCAGCCTTAAGGCTGAGGAGGTCTATAAAAGACTTGCCCTGTTGTGCCACTGCTTTATGCTGTGATCTCTCCAGGGAATCTTGCCTGATGCTGTACAAGATGCCTTTTGCACACTGGGCAAACAAATCCCCTTTAAAGAAGTATTTGTTATCATACAAAAGATTTGTTTCTTTCTGCAACTGTTTTTCTTAAAACCTTCACAATCTGTTTGTTTGTTTGACTGGTCCTATTCACCTAGCGAAGACTTTTGCAATGCATACCGTGTTTTCCCCAAAATAAGACCCCATCTTATATTTTTTTGAACCCTGAAATAAGCGCTTGGCCTTATTGCCATGCACTCAAAAGCCTGATTGGGCTTATTATCAGGGGATGTCTTATTTTGGGGGAAACAGGGTATTATTGTTCTGCTTTCACTCAGGGTTTTTTTTTTTTTTCATTCAGGGTTTTTTTTTTAGATATAATTGCCCAAGTTATCTTATCATTATAAAACTCACTCTGAAAATTTCCAAGATCATGAAAGCAAAGATTCTTTCTGTCTTATACAGAAATCATAAATAGGCTTTCCCACTTAGTATTGCTTCTGGAAGAAAGCATGCCCTGGCCTGTCAACTAAAGCCTCAGGGGACATAGGTTGATGGAAAAGGAACAGAAGAAACCTTTCTGAAGTGCATCCCTGGCCTTATTTCCAACTCAAGGGTTGAATTCTTAAGGGGGTTATTGGGTCCAAATATGTCCAAATGGCTTACGGCCTATGGAAGCGAATACCATAGTAAAGGTATGGTGCTATATGAAAGGACATATGGTTTGACATATTGCTGAGGAAAAGACCCAGACTCTTCTGTCCTTTCTTCCAAATGGTTTTGCAGAGTAAAAGGGTAGATGAAAATATAATATTTTCATGGGTTACAATTCTTAAACATGATCCCCATTTATCTCTAAGGCATTCCACTCTTTCCAGCACATTTTTTTGTTGTTGTTTAAATTATTATTATTTCAGAAGTAAATGTTCTGGCTTTTATCCCTGCAAGACTGGTGGCTACTTCGCTTAACATTTGCTGGGGAGTCTCTCTGGAAATTGTTCCAAAAACAGGAGTAGGTTTCCTTAACGTGTGCTTTCTTCCTGGCCAATTCCTCCCGCACTTGATGCCTTCACCCCTCAGAATAAATATAAAGTATGTCTAAGCTTATATTTTTTTCTCTCTCTCTCATTTGGCTGAACTGACTGGCTGACGAAGCCGTCGCTTCCTTCTAATTTCAGCGGCCGTGGAAAAGGCTAAAGCGAGGGTCGCCCAGTTCCGCCAACCTGCAAACCCCCGGCCGCACCACGCGAGGGGTCTCCTAGCCGGGATGAGGAAAGGGGAGGGCGAAGAGAAGGCTTGTGTGGCTCGGCGAGAATCAAACAGACAGGCGGCGGCGGCCAATCAGCGCCGCTTTCCCGAGCCGCAGAAAGCAAAAAGCGAGCCAGCAGCTTAGGAGCTCGCTTTTTTTTTTTTTTTTTTGCTTTGCTTTTGGAGGTAACCCAGAGCTTGGGATCCAGTGCGCCTCTCGATCTCGCGCTCTCTCTCCCTGGACGGGGAGCAAGGCTGCGCCTATAGGGGGATACAAGTCGCCTTTTCTTTCCTCATCACCCTCACACTCCACCCCTCCGTTTCTCTCTCCCTCCCTCTCTCCCTCTCTCTCTCTCTCTCTCTCTTTTTTCTTCCTCCTCTTCTCTTATAGCCCTTAAAGTTCCCTGTCACCAGTTAGGGCACGCCAGCTAAGGTAAGGCTTTGAAATGAAACGACCCTTCCTCCCCCCTACCTCCTCTCAACATCCCCGATCCCCTCTCAAACCCCCCCCCCGGAATCTATGCATTCTTCCCGCGGCGGGGCAAACGGGAGGCTGCCGTTTACACAGCCCTTTGCAGTGCCAGAGAGAGAGAGAGAGAGAGATTGCTTTGAGGTCGGGGCATCGGCGACTTGCAATTTTTGCACGGCCGTGGTGTGTCTTCCCTTCTCCTCCTCCCTTTTCGCCTCTTCTTTCTGCCTTTTCGCCAGAGAGCCTTACCCTTGCGACTTCCCCTCGGTTGCGGTGGTTTTGCTGAGCCCAGAATGTTTTTAGTGCAAGCTACCAGTTAAAAGGGAAAAAAAAAAAAAAAAGGAGGAGGAGGAGGACGGATAGGAAGGGGAACATCCTCGCCCGGGTGCTGGGTTGCGCCTGCATGCATTTTTACCTTCCTTTCTCCACCCACCCCACACCCCACTCGTGAATGTCAGCGGCAAACCTTGATGCCGCTCCTCATCCTGGGGAGGGGAGAGGGGTCGTGCACCCCGTGGAGTGGGGCTGTCAGTCAGATCCGAGAAGGAGAAGAGGGCGCAGTTGCGGAGTTGCCACTAGGAAAAAGCGGAGGTTTGTCCGGTCCGTGCATGGAAACGCAGCCTCCCTGAGTCCCCATTGATCTTGCTTTCCCGGGTGCTGATCTTTTCTTTTTCTTCCCCCCCCCCTCCAATTCCTTCCCCTGCCCTTAAAAATGCAGCGAAGGAGGGTGGCTGCCGGGAGCGCCTTCTTCCTAACGCTTTCAAACTTTCTCTGCCTTTTTACTTCTCCCGGATAGAGAAGGACATTGGGAAAGGAAATGAGATGCAGTTAGAAGCCTGCCCCATTTTTGCCACAGGGAGAAAAAAAAAAAAAAAAAAAAGAGGATACGTGCAAGACTGGGAAGGGGAACTGTGAGGGGTTGCGGAAATAATTAGAAGGCACCGGAGAGACAGACAGGCAGACAGGCAGACAGACAGACAGAGACAAGCAAGGATGTCCGACAATCTTTTAGCTCCTAATACCCTTCTCAGTTGAGTGTCTTGGACTGGAAAAGGGGCCAGCTGTGTTCTTTCTAAATTGCCAGTCTTAAAGAAGCATCGTGCATACTGGAAGGATTATTTTGTGTCTGTATATAATTATAGTGTATTCCACATGAAGGTGTTGAGCAGGAATTTGCAATGAGCAGCATCAGAGTACTACCTTCCTTTTCCTAACGTGTATGTGAAATCATAAAGCGGTGATTTACAGTTTAAGGAAGTAAGAATGATCTGGGTTCAATCGAGCTAAATTTAAATATATTTCAGTTCCACTGAGTTCAGTGAATGACATTCAAGCCTCTACTTACTTTTTCTTTTTCTAAGCATTGGAAGGTAATAGGGCTTAACTTTGCTGGTTGTATGTTCAAGTTAAAAATAATTGCTTGGTAATACATTTTCTTTAATTTTAACGAAGTGGCTGTCTTAAATTCAGTTACTAATCAGAGTGCTACACAAGGTGTAAACATGATTGAATAGACGTTCTATTCACTTTTAGAAAGCTTGGCTATATATCTAGAAATCTATCTCAAGGCTGGATCTATCAGCATCCAGCACTATGTTGCAACAATCTGTCTAGATTCCTTCCTTCCTCCCTCCTTCCCCCTCTTTACAAGGGATATGTGAAGTGATTGCTAGTAATAATATTGCAGGTATAGATTTCACTCTGCTGGTGATAACCCAGTGACATTTCTCAATGTTCTTCTTCTTGTTTGTCATCTATACATTGGATTCTCACAACTGTACCAGTAATGTGAGTTCTATTAAGCATGCTAGTGGTGGCAATATTTTTCTTGGAGCTGCAAGTCACCGCATACTTACCTTGAAGAAAGTCTCACTGAAGTCAGTTAGATTTGCTTAGAAGTAAAAAAAAAAATGCATTATGTGGTGAAGTACCTATTATCACAAGATGCAATGAAAACCTGATTATCTTTTTTTATTTTAACTTGAAAAATATGAATTACTACTGAAGCACACACACACAATATGCATCAATCCTTTTCATAGGTGGAAATTCATTATTTTGAAACTCCATTAAGATGATATATTTTAGTTTGCTACAGTTGTAACAAAACTATTAATAATGTTTGTAAACATACATTTCTGTGTGCAGGGGAAAAATATTTTCAATATTTCATTTTGATGTAAACTTTTCAGTTTCCTTCCATAAAGAACGGGCAGACTTGGTAGACTTGAACATCAGTGGATTTTTTAGTATCTTAATAATGACGGGTATTTTAAGACCGCAAAATGACCTTATCATTACATTAATATTTGATTTAACATCAGACCTTGGATCATTTTGTTTTACTATTTTTAAAATTATTTCTACCAACTTTTTGTCGTTATGCTTTCAGGAAAACTAACAGTGTAAAATATTATTTAACAAATCCTTTAAAAAACAAAAAGAAGATACAGTGATACCATCAGAATGATATCTTAAAACCTTTCCAGTTGTATTTCCAAAGGCAGACATTAAGCAAACCAGTATTCTAAAATTGGATGCCATGACTAAAAAGGTCTCCTCTATTGTGCATCATTGGAGAATACAAGCATGTAGATTAATGGAGTGACTCGTTGTAATTGAGAAGGCTATCCTTGAGTGATCTTTCGCATAGATAGAAGTTAAGATGTAACTGTGGAATGGTCTTCTCCATGTTTGTTGAACAAATTAGTACTTTCAGCTCCTATCTGATTATCACTTTGTAAAGATGACATGAAACTTCTGATCAGTGATCAGAACTGTCAAAACTGTTGATATAAACTCTAACATTGTTGAAGATGAATCAAAAAGAAGATGTAATTATGGTGAATTACTCTGAATAAGCTTTCACAAATGTTACATTACAACCCATAAACATTTAGGAAAATGAGAAAATATTCCTACTTTGTTAATAATAAAGTACAATGTCTGCTTATATTAATAGATTGTAATAGGGAAAGGCATAAAGGTTCACTTATTTATTTAATCACATTTGTATAGCTACCCATCACACATAGTTACTGGGTGGCATGCATAATAACAAAAACTGTTAAAATTACCAATTTTGGATTATAAAATAAAAACATGATGAAAACAAAATGGCAAAAAAAAAAAAAAAAAACCCAGTGCATTTCATTAACCGTTATTCAGTCATCTGGCATTTGAAAGTTAAGAATTTGTATGCTTCTCTGGGTTACTGTGAAATCAAAGAGGCAAGCAAATAAGCCATCTGCACCATTATATACATCACAGGAGGAATCATAAAATGAGATGCAGTCCCTCTGCCACTTCTAGGTTTTAACTCATTTCATCGAGGTATGTGAGAAGAAGGTCTCATTTTAGAAGTGAAGAGGTTGGGGGAAAAAATAGCTTCAAACCTCATAGTCAGTGGCTCTCTGATCAAGTCATGGTGCACTCTTTTGAGTATTAAACAAGAGATAAGTTAATTATATATCACTGAGTTGAGTTTGACTGGCGGCTGATAAATTTGAACAAATGCCATGTATCTCATCCTGTTCTTAATGACAATTTTCCAAGGACATTCATTTGGTTTCCTTGAGCCATCCATTTTTTTCCATTATCTTCCCTTTTTTCTTTTCACAACTTTGCCAAGCATTGTCCTTCCTTCCTTCCTTCCTTCCTTCCTTCCTTCCTTCCTTCCTTCCCTCCCTCCCTCCCTCCTTCCTTCCTTCCTTCCTTCCTTCCTTCCTTCCTTCCTTCCGTCCGTCCAAAGTACATGAGTCTTTGCTTGTACTGAGTGAAAGTTGGCTTGTTGATGATAGCCATGGTGGCTTCGTCAAACTGGTAGGACATTTCCATTTAATTATTGAGAAAGACGGCTCACCCCAAGAGTTTAATGGAAAGAGCTGAGCATTGAGGAGAGAAAGTAGAACCCACCCATATACATTCATATATGCATACATACATGTGTGTGTTGTGTGTAAATGTGAGGTTCAGGCAATGGTGGAATTCATTTTTTTTATTACCGATTCTGTGGGCGTGGCTTGGTGGGCATGGTAGGGGAAGGATACTGCAAAATCTCTATTCCCACCCCACTCCAGGAGAAGGATACTGTAAAATCTCCATTCTCACCCCCCTCCAGGAGCAGGATACTGCAAAATCTCCATTCCCACCCCACTCCAAGGGAAGGATATTGCAAAATCTCCATTCCCACCCCACTCCAGGGGAAGGATACTGCAAAATCCCCATTCCCTCCCCACTCTACCAGCCAGAGGTGGTATTTGCCGGTTCTCCGAACTATTCAAAATTTCCGCTACCGGTTCTCCAGAACCTGTCAGAACCTGCTGAATAGCACCCCCTGGGTTCAGGTAATTGTTAGGCTGAATACATAGCTTTGTAGTATTATAAATAGTAGTATTCATTTAATAAATGATTTTTTTTTTATTTTTAGTATTCAACAAATAAATAGTTTTGTGGCAGTCGTTGCACTGACACAAATACAGAGGATTTAAAAACATCCTTTCCTCCCAATCCTTTCGTTAGAGTAATTGAGGGGCCTTTTGTTGTTCTTCTCTCCATGCACAGGGGAGAGAATTGGTTGTTATTTCCTTTGGATTACCCAAGATTTTTGGATTTTATTTTACTTTTTGTGTAAGTTAAAATCACTCAGACTTGTTGGAATTGGGTGCCTAGAAAATTTAAATATAAATAAAGTTGTCACAGCTGTTTCAACTGATCCAGAAGTCAACCAGCCAAGCTCTTGTAACATTGCTGACCTTGTGGAAACACAGGGTTCTGAAACTACATTCAATCTGATGCATAATCCTCATGTGGAAATGCTTGTGGTCTGGCGATACAGAGGAGTTGTTGAGATGAGTTTGTTCAAATGAGTGTTGAACAAAGTGAGATATGCAAAGGGAAATATGGATAATAAGCATAGTCTCTGTCAAGTAAGCCTGGCTAGAAATAGGAAAAACAATCAGTGTCATACTCCAGCTCTTTGATTGATTGATTGATTGAGTGAGTGAGTGAGTGAGTGAGTGAGTGCTGGATTTTATGATTTATATACCACACATTTCAAAGTGATTGTTGATAGTGTGTGGAATTGGGGCCTGTCTGGTCAGCAAGTGTGGAAGAGTTAAATTTTTACGAAAATAAATGCCCAATTTCTTTTAATGTTGAATGAACTATTTTAAGAAGAGGGCAATAGTGAAGTTTTTTTTTTAACTTTTTGGGTTGAAGTGAAAAATGTGTGCTTGCTTGAACAGTTTGTGCATGATCAAGCATATATAGGTAAGCAGAAGAAATTCTAATGTACACTGAAAATACTTTCCATAGATTGCTCAATGGCAAGAGAAAATTTGCTTGATTGGAATACAACATTTTAAAACATTGATATATAGCATTAGCAACTCGAACTGCTGACTCTTCCAAGTATAAAACCGTAACTTACAAGGAGAAAATAAATTTCAAGCATCTG